TCTTTTTTAGTTTGCCATAGGGCTCATATGCTCACCAGATAGAGACAGAGAGAGAGAGAGACAGAAAATGAGAAATCACTCACTAGGGAGGATAACCATACCATAGTCCTTTCTCTTCTATTCTCCTCTTCAGATTTTGGGCATGTACACACAAGCACCACCCAGACTACTGGGTATGGGACTCAAACCATGCAGTCAGCCTTGTGGGTTCCAGTGCATTAACCTCCACACCACCTGCTGGCCTGGGCTCATATATTCTTTTTTTTGGTAGAAGTTTTTTCTATAGGGTGCGTGTGCTTGCCAGACAGACAGACAGAGCGACAGAAAGTGAGAACTCACCCCCCAGGGGGGATGGCCATGCCGCAATCTCCTCTCCTCCATTCTCCTCTTGGGATCTTGGGCACGCACACACACATGCCTGACTTGAGTTTTAAGCCACCGGGTCCTGGACGTGAACTGCGGTCGACTACATGGGAGTCCAGTGACATAGCCATTACACTAACTGCTGGTCCTTGGGCTCATATATTCTAAAGTCACTCACTCGGAGGGAAACCATGATGATTGGATGGTAATTAAGAGATTACCATTTTTAGTTCAAGGACGCCTTTGCAATAAAATGAATACAATGTAAGAGCCACACAGTGTGGACAGGGTCTCCCTGTGTCCTGCAGTTTCAGCATTAATGAGAAAGCTATCTCATTTTCCAACACCCTCTCCCACCATCTCTCATCCCTCTCCCTCTTGTCCATCGACCTCACACTGGCTCCTGGATGGTCTTGAGCATTGAAACAAACACCTCTCTCAGGGTCTCTGCCCTGGCTAGTCCCTCTGCTAGGTAAGATGCCAACACATGATCTCCTGGCCTCCACTTTCTCTTCCTGTAATCATTGTTTAAATGTCACCTTCTATTCCTGCCTTACCCGGTCTCCTGTACAAAACAGGAACTGGATTCACTCAACTTAATACCTGCTTTCATTTTCTTCAGAGCATCTGTCACCACCCAAATGTTGTATGTATTTCCTTATTAACAGTCTTGTTGAGGTATAATTGTTCCATGAAGGACTTCACATCGATGTGAACATTTGATGAGTTTGTGGAGAAGCAAATATACATAACATCATCACCACAATCAAGGGGATAGACATGGATTTTCTTATCTGCTTGTATTCTTTCTCCACCATTGGGAAGTGGGAATTTTGTTTCTCGGCATCCTAAAGTCATGGCCTGGGTAATGTCTAGAACACAATCAGCACTCTCCATATACTTCTTAAATATGAAAAATACTTTTTTAACTGTGGATTTTATTTATTGATTTATTTTTACCTTTCCCCACAAACGTTTACTTTTTTTTTTTTTTTGAGAGGTTTATTGCTAT